TCTTCTTCTTCTTCTTCTTCTTCTTCTTCTTCTTCTTCTTCTTCTTCTTCTTCTTCTTCTTCTTCTTTTTTGTTTTATGGCGGTTGGCAAACAACTTTAAGGTGCATTACCGCCACCTTCCAGATTGGAGTATGGATCAAAGGCTCATACCCTCCTCATAATACCCGTTCTTCTAAGAAAATTAAAGATACTATCAAACACTACGTCCCCCGATGATCTCTGAAATATCTCTCTAATATCTAATTTATTTTTATTTCTACTTAATTCTCTAAGTAATACCTCTCTTTCTCGTATGTATTTGTTGCATTCTAAGAAAATATGTTGTACTGTTTCTAATTCTCCACAATAACTACAACAACCTGTATTATGTTTATTAATTAACATAAGAGTACTATTTAATCCTGTATGTCTAAACCTAATTCTTGATATAATATCTTCTTCACTTTCACTTCTGTTATCTCTTCTACTTTCCCCAACTCTTATTTGGATATTATAATAAAATCTCACTTTCTCTCCTCTATCCCACAGTTCTTGCCATTTTCCCTTGATATATTTCTTTATAATATTCTTTACCTCATTTTTACTTATCTTATTATTCAAATCAACAATTTCCTTTCTTGAAGCACTCTTAGCAAAACTATCCACTAACTCATTTCCTACCACACCAATGTGGGCAGGAATCCAAACTAATTTAACCTAAGAACCACGATTTTTAATCCTGGAAATTGAGTGAATCCAATCTTGCCTTGATTCTGAATTTACCTCTTTGATACTAATTAATGCATTACTTGAATCGGAACAAATTACAACTTCTCTTCTTTCAATTTCCTCAACTCATTCCAAAGCCATTAAAATTGCCATTAACTCACCTGTATACAGTCAGTTTATCATTTATTCTTTTATTTTTCATAAAGTTTAAATCTGGAGCAATAAATGATATACCTACTTGATTATTTACCATTTTTGAGGCATCTGTATATATTTGAATATATTTTGGATATTCTTTATTAATATAATTTTCCACTTCATTCTTTCCCAATTCTCTTCCCTTTTCCAATAACTTTAAATCAACTTCAGTCTGTTCAAAAACCCCATAGTGGAATGACAAGAGTAACAACCACAGGACTAATTAGAAATTTATCAATCCCATTATCATTTATTCTCCAGAACCTGAAACCGGACCCTCCTGAGGCTCCGCCCCCTCTGACAGCAGAGGTGTGTTCACCTGTTAGGTTCTGAGTGCCTGAAGAGGAGAAAGGCGAGTCCAATGGGATCCAGGTAGAAAGATGAGGTAACATGAGGGAGGCTCACCTGGCTGGTTTTGATCAGGGACGGGATGCTGGGTTCTGAACATTGAACCGGTCATTCCTCTCTGGAGTCCAGAGAGGAATGAACACCAGCCAGCCTGACCAGATGGTTGGTGCTGCTGCAGTAGCAGCAGCAGAGATCCTCTCTGGAACAGGAACTCACACTCTCACTGAAAATCCACAACCAGAAACCTAAAAATATGTTTGATTATTCATTAAACAGGTTTTTTTTTAAAATTTATTTATTTAATGTAATCATGTTGTTTAAAGTTGATCTGAAGGAAACTTTCCATGTTGATTTTCACCTGAACCTCCCTCATTAATTCCTGAACATAGTGTTCTGCTTTGGGCTCTTTTAATCTGGAGGGTTTAAATTGTGTAACTGCTTTGTTTCAACTGTTTTCCATTGAAAAAGTTAAAAACCTGCTGAGTTACAGACAGGTTTTAACTTGACGTATGCGTTTGCTGTGAGATGTTTATCAGTTTCTGTCTCTGCTGTCCAGGAATGTTTCCTGGTTGCTTCAGTTTGCTCATTTAGCTTTTTTCTAAACTAAATGATTTGCTCTCTATTGGTTCTGGTTCTGGTTCAGATCAGGACAGTTTGTTCAGGTTGACCTGACAGTTGATGGTTTTCCAGCCTGTCGGCTCTGCAGCCTCCAGTTCTTAAGAAAACAAACTTCATGATAACAGAAAAAGTTTCATCTTTCAGTCTAACCGAGATGCGTCTCTGTCAGCAGTTTGAACCAGTTCAACCAGTTTTAACATCTATTTATAGCCTGAGAAGCAAACAGGGGAAGCGTCTTCATTATGGCAGATTAGTAGAAAAATTAAGGGTAAAGAATAATAATGAAGTATAACATTTAAAAATGAAACATTACTGTGTAAAAGTTTTAAAGCCGTCAGTTTGTTTAGTTTTCTTTCCCTCCAAAGATTCGATCTTGGTGTAAAAACACCTTTTGACTGTGATCACCTTTACAGGAACATTATTATCTCCTCTGCATTTCCACTGGATTTATCAAGATAAATAAATTATCTGGGCATAAATGAAGCTCAGAAAAACACCCAGAAAGGAGGAAATACTTTTTATCATCCAGTAACTTCTGGAAGCTCGTTGTTAAAGGTTTTGTCAGTCAGATCCATCCAGTCTTTTTCACTACATGACTGGCTTCAGTCCCTGATGCTCTGTTTAAAACTCTCTAAATAGTTTTCTTATACTTTTATAAATAAAAAAGAAATTATGCTTAATAAATTCCAAACATTTCAAAATAACTCAAGAACCCTGCCCTTCATATATCTGGCTGACATTTGAGGGGAAAAGCAGAAGCATCACAGACATTAATTAGCATTAGCTAATGACAGTCAGCTGGCTCACTGAGCCACTTACATGTTCAGTTTTTCCTTCCACTAAACCTTCCAGTCAAACGTTTTTCTCATTATTGTTATTAGAGAAAATAAATTGTAGACTCCAGCCACAATAATGTAAATTAACAAAATCTTTTTTTAATGATCCAAATGGAGCTGGGTCTGTGCCGAACCTCCAGTTGGTGGCAGTAACCCACCAGTTGGTCCCGGTCCAACATCAGAGCAGATCAGGTTCTGATGGTGCAGGAGTCTGAAACAGATCAGACTAAATGAAATCCATCATGTGTTGTGATTAATCCAGAGTCGGAGCTGCTCTGTAGCCGTTGTCCTGGTGGCTAACAGCGAGTTAGCACCGTTAGCCTGCAGCGGCTAACTAATTTTCACATTAAAAGTCGCTTTTAATCGCAGCTGCAATGGAAACAACGGCGACGAAAAGACGAGACAACAAGAAATCCCTGCGGGTTAAAGTCATCAGCCTGGGGAACGCCGAGGTGGGGAAGGTAGGACAGTTTCTGATTATTTCACATCACATCTACATGGAGACTGGTCCGGTTGAGCTGGACGCTCTAACACGGACTAACCACACTGCTTTATAGCTTAATTAATTGTTTATTACACGTAAATACATGGAGAAACTACTAACAGCCTGGATTGGAAACCCTTCTTTAATATTAAGACAATATACTGATGCTTTTAGGTCTGAGCCCAAGACGTTATTGTTTATACCAGACTTTATTTAAATAATCCATTATTTTATTATTCCTCATAATGTCTTTAAACTTCCAAACATTTGAATGAATGTCCAAAAAAGGTGGCAACTACTCGACTATTCGGCTTACACCTCACCTTTATAGATGATTCATATAGATATAATGTATGTCATCCAGGAATATTAACTGATGTAGTGGGCTAAGCAAAGTAAAAATTGTGTTTTTATTTACAGTCCCTCAATTTTTAAAATCTCTGAGTAAATTAGATTATTCTACCCAAAATCATGCCTCAGTGATAGTCTAACCCTCTGATTCTGCAGTTCCTAGAACCAAAGAGGCCTGAGTACAGTTCTTTAGTTGGTATCCATGTTTTGTATTGTCCTTTAGAGAGTTGGTACATTAGACGTTTAGCACAGTCAGTCAACTTACAAGTCAGTTTCTAGGTTAACTGATCATTGTTACCAGCGGCTTATTAACGGGTACAAAACCAAAAGGCAACGTCTGGTAATAAAATGGAGGTAGGAGTTGAAGGAGTGATTGAAACTTGAGCCTCATCAGCCGGAGCATCCTGGTTCTTCACGTTAATCAGAAACCTGTTTTTATCTTCAGAGCTGCATCATCAAGCGCTACTGTGAGAAGAGGTTTGTTCCAAAGTACCTGGCAACAATCGGTATCGATTATGGAGTCACGAAGTAGGTCCTCACACCGACCGCTGTCCTGAACTAGACGGCTGTACGTCGTAGTGATGTGTGTGTTTGTGTGTGTCAGAGTTCAGGTCAGAGACAGAGAAATCAAGGTGAACATCTTCGACATGGCCGGACATCCCTTCTTCTACGAGGTGAGACATTTCAGGACGTTACAGGCGACGGTCTGGGTTCTTTCAGCAGGTGGAGGCGCAGCAACTCGCTTGTCCTGCTCTGTGTTTCAGGTCCGTAACGAGTTCTACAAAGACAGCCAGGGAGTGCTGCTGGTGTACGATGTGGGGCTGAAGGAGAGCTTCGACGCCCTGGACAGCTGGCTGGGGGAGATGAAGCAGGAGATGGGCTCTCAGGCCAACATGGACAGCATCGTCTTCGTCGTCTGCGCCAACAAGGTCCGACCCGATCTACCGCCAAGTCATCAATAACATACTGAACAGATCTGTGTTCAGTCCTTCTGGTCTCTGGCGCCCCCAGGTGGACCTGACGAAGCGGCGGGTGGTGGATGAAGGTGAGGGTCGTCTGTGGGCGGAGTCCAGAGGGTTCCACTACTTTGAGACGTCAGCCCAGAGCGGCGAGGGCATCAACGAGATGTTCCAGGTAGTCCTGACGTCCTGTGAGCCGCAGAGCTTCGTACTGATGCTCTGAGGTTCTTCTGGTTTCGTCCGCAGGCATTCTTCTCCTCCATCACTGACATGTGTGAGAACGGCGGGAAGCGGCCGGTGTCAGAGGTCAGCGTGGGCTTCACCAAGGAGCAGGCCGACACCATTCGACGCATCCGCAACAGCAAGGACTCCTGGGACATGCTGGGGGTGAAGCCGGGAGCCACGCGGTGAGTCCGGATCCTCGCCGAGGTCCGACCCGCGGCATCTCCTGACGCTGACGCTGTCGTCTGTCTGCAGGGAGGAAGTGAACAAGGCGTACAGGAAGCTGGCCGTCCTGCTGCACCCGGATAAATGCGTCGCCCCCGGCAGCGAAGACGCCTTCAAGGCGGTGGTGAACGCTCGCACCTCACTGCTGAAGAACATCAAATAACAGAGACAGAGAACCACCAACATGTTTGTTCCTTATTTATCTGGATATTTACTCTGTCTCTGTGCCACAGTGCTGTTTGCTAACCCTTAACCTTTAACCTTTGACCTTAGAACAGGCAGGTCTGACGATGAGGACGGCAGAGTCCACCAGAACCAACCAGGTCCATTTAGAGCTCTGAGTCTGTGTCGCTGTTTACAGAAATATGTGAATATTATTTAGATTTAACATCTTTCATCAGTAATTTAATTTAAATATTTTCATTCTTTGCAAATGTTTATAAAAGTTTCCTGTTTTTTGTACAGTTTTAAAATTCCTTTACAGTTATAATTTTCTCCCATAACATTGTAAACATGTATATTTTAAAATCTAAATTAAATATTTATTATCTTAACATCTGAACCGATAAATTAATGTCAGGATTTTCTTTTAATGGTTTCCTATTATTATTATTAATCTAATTTAAAAAAAAAAAAACTTCTAATATTTTACACTTTCTGTGAGCATCCAAATATGTAGATTAAATTCACAAATTTTAAGGAAATACATTTTTCTTATAACTTTTTAGTCTTGCTCAAATATTTAATTTGTTTATACATGTATTGCAGCATTTTGAAAAATAACACTTCATAAACATTTCATTGGCTTGCAAAATAACAAAAAGTGATGTTTTTAGCCAAAAGAAAACATTTACAAATTTTTAAAAATGCCACAATTATAAGGAATTTATTGGCAGATAATCCTTAAATTATTTTTAGAAATTTGAGAATTAATTTAAATGTTAAATATGGATTTAATGTTACTTATATTAATAAAATGTTTTAAGTTAAAAAGAAAATTAAATGTCCCAAGTTCAACATGTTTATAAAAATTATCCCTAAAATCAGAAACAAATTGATGTCAAAAACTGATAAAATTATAATAACATTAAATTCAAGGTAAAACTGAGTTAACTGAACAAAATGACATCAGCTTTAAATTGGGCTCAGAAATACTGCAGGAAGTTGTAGTTTCTAGAACATATGTCACTTCCTGTTGCTCTCACAATGTTTGTGGTCTGCAGCTGATGGACCGGCTCGGTTCTGTTGGTGTTCTGTTGATCAGAACCTCACTGAGCTCAGAACACGTCAGGATTCCCCGTGTTTATAAAGGTTCCCAGGTGAACGGGTCACGTAGGGTCAAAGTGCATGCTGAATGTTGAGATGTGATCCTTATGTTCCAAACAAACAGCCAGAACCCGACCAGAACCAGACAGCATGATGCTCAGTCAGGACAGGAACCAATCAGGAGGTCCCTCCAATTACCCATAATTCATTTGAAAAGTTTATTTACTCAATAATTTAATTAGTTTTAACTTTTGATTTAAATTATTTCCTGTCGGTTTCTGTTTTTAATGTTACACATTTTAGAGACATTTTAACCCTGATATTCAATTGTCACATTTAAAAAAAAAAAAAAAAAATTAAAAAGCTAAATATTTAGTTTGAAGCTAAGTATTTAGCTTGCTAACTACATATTTAGCTTTATACTAAGTGTTGTTTTGAGCTAAATAGTTAGCTTGCTAACTACATATTTAGCTTTATACTAAGTGTTGTTTTGAGCTAAATAGTTAGCTTGCTAACTACATATTTAGTTTGTAAACTATTAAGCTTACTAATTATATCTGTTGATTTTCAAGTAAATATTTAGTTAGCAAGCTAACTATTAGCTACCATTTAAATACTTAGTTTGAAGCTAAACAGTTAGCTTGCTATCTATTTAGCTAACTAAATAGAACAATTTACATCATTTTATCTGGAATCTCGTTTTAGTTGGTCTAATTTGCAAGTTTAGTGATTAGAAAACATTTCTCCGAAACTGTTTGGATGTTGTAGAACTTTACCAGATTATTTAATCAATTTTTCTTATTTTCCAGTTAAATGAGAATCATCCTCCAAATCTTCCTTATTTCTACTGCCAAACATTAAATCCTTATTGTGACATGTACTCCGGTTTTAACTGGACTTTCTTTTTTTTATGTTACCATAGAAACGGTCAGCATGTTCCCCTCTAAGGTTTACATGAAGGATCCAACAGAACCATCTGTGTCTGTTTACAGACTTTTATCAGCTCGACTGTTTGATAACAGAGCTGACTGCTGGCATGGATACATGTTATTATTACAGTTTTATATTTTTACATGTTGATGTTTGTGTCCACAGGAATGAATAAAATCGGCCTGAGCTTCCACATGTTCAACCAAATGGATCTAATGTTTCATTTTTCTAATTCCACTGAAGGAAAATAGAAATTTTCCCTTTTTTCTCCTTGTTTTTGGGAATATTTATGATTTATAAAGTGAAATGAGTCCTGATATGGACGGTTGCCAGGGCAATAATACCTTCTAGTATTGCTACTTTACATCCAGTTTGGCCTGGATTTAAAATAAAGTTAAGAGGTTTCGCCACCAGGTGGCAGCACACTAAACCTACATCAGTGGATCCATTTTTAGCTCCCTGATCAGATACTTACAGCCCATCTTCTCAGGTTTCTGTCCATCTGTGAAGTTGCCATCAACATGGTCACACAACCCGAGCACACAAACACAACCTGGCCTGGTTGGAGGCCTGCCAATCCCATCAGGCACCTGATCAGTCAGACACAGCCACATGCTTAATCTGGCCGATTAATGAGCAGCTTTTTGTCCATTCGAGGGGTTCCTGATGGGATTAGCGCGGCACTAGGACATCTGCTGGTCAACTTCAGCTCATTACACCAAGCTGCTGTGCCTCTCTCAGACCTGCAGTTCAGGAGCGACATGTTCTGGTTGTAACCCGACGGTACCTCCGTCTTTACTCACCGACACCATGAAGACTGGACTCTTCCTGCTGCTGAAACCTTCAGAACGCTGATGAAGGAATGAGGAGCTTGGAAAGGCTATAGATGTTTCCTGAATAAATCAGGAAACAAGATGGAGTTGATGGACCTGAGATGAATGAGGAAGCAGCAAGGAAACAAAAACAGGACAAAGACAAACCACAAGAACCGGAGTCGTTACTGGACATGACAAACTCAATTCTGCACCCAGTGAGTACAAGTATGTCTCGGTTCTGTCCAGTTTTTCATCCTGTGAACTAATCTTCAGAGGATTCAATAAAACCCTTCACCTTTTCTTACTGATTTGTTCCCATTGAACCACTTTACCTTAAATCCAAATAAGGTGTCTACATTCAGTTTGGTGTGAAGCAGGAATCCTCTTTAATGGTTCTGGATACACGGTTGAGTCAACTGTAAGTTGAAGTACAGCATGGCAGCATGGCGCTGGCCTCACCTGGCATTAGATTAACACCATCTGCTTCATCAGCACTTTGACGGCGTCAATGGAGGCCTCTGCTAATTACAGACAATGAAACAGGACCATTATAATCAGACCCAACGTAAAAACCACTAAATACGTGGAAACAGAGAAAAAGCTACACTTTTAAGCATAATAATGATAAAAAGTTGTTATATCTGTAGATGATAAATCCTCTAGGAATCAAAGATGTGCAGTTTGAGAAAACCAAAGAGGCTGAGAGTAGAGCCTTGAGGCTCACCTCAGATAAAAGTGTGACTCATGATTTAAAAGCCATAAAGTGAAAAATGAAGCCACCTATCAGATCATTATTGAGTGACTTTACTGATTTGGAGTAATGGACAATGGTCTGGCAGAAATCTTGAAATCAGACTAGTGTTTCATGGTTTCTGCTCACACAGCTCCGTAGCTCAGACCCACCATCCACATAACCATGACTGACAACCTCACCCAACTGACAAATGGCGATTGTGAGTCAGCCAGGCAGCCCAGTGACATCACCTTCAGTGCGAACATCAGCCCCGCCCACGGCCTACGAAGGAAACGTCTGCTGTGGCAGACCGCCGTCAGGAACATCATCGACCAGCACAACCTGTACTCTCTGAGGCTCGCTGGCGGCCTGGAGAGAGGCAGACACCGCATCACCGTCACAGACGCCTACATTGCTGACATCAACAGGTACGACGCCTGATGCCATCAGCAGGTGACATTGGGACTTTTTGGTCTTTGATTGCTTCCTTTCTGTGGTTCTGCAGGCAGATACGCAACAAGACGTCTCGTGGTAATTTTTGGCAGAAGCGTCGTTCGTCTGCAGTTCGAGTTCATCCAGCAACTCCAAGGATTTCTGTACAAACGCAAGTCGCACAGCGTTTGCCAACTGATGCCGACTTCTTTGTGTCATACGGATCGACGGTCCGAGGCATCTTCATTCCTACCATGCAGCTAACATTCAAGTAGAGAAGCACAAACAAAAAGGTAAAACAGTCTGATGTTCAACAGTTTTTAAAACTTGTGTTTCATCCGGACCACCAGGTCTGCCGACCTGGAGTTGACCTACCAGCAGTTCTCCTCAGCTCAGCGAAGAACCTCTCTGGTTGTCACCAACCTCATTGACATCTTCATCCGGCTGTTCATCTCACTGGTGACGTGGCCAACAGGCTGGGGGGCCGTGGCTTGTGATTGGCTGACCGGCCTGTTGCTTGTTCTGTGGGCGGGGGTCTGTGGGCTGGCAGTGGCAAACAAGGAGGTAATGACATCACCACAGTGGCTCCGGTATGTCTAAAGCTAAAGGCTGTTAACCCTTCCAACGACTTCTGATGACCAACTGCTAAAAACAGGTCTGGACCTTCCGTCCGCCCTCTCAGGTACCTGTCGGTGCTCACCTGGGTGTCTCAGACCGTCCAGGTGTTAGTTGGGGTTTTCAGCTGGGCTGAAATCGATCACTCCTGGTATGTCTTCTTCACTCTGTTCTCCACCTACACCCTGTTGCCGCTGCCCCTCCCCTGGGCGATTGCTGCAGGGACAATCACCTCCACCCTGCACCTCCTAGTGGATGTCTGTTGGCACTACAGCGACCAAATTCTGATCAGAAGGGTTAGAAAACTTTTATACTTCTCACTTTTTACTACCATATGTCTTCCCTTTTTAGTCTAAATGCCTCTCCACCTTCTTAATGTCCTTTCCTTTGTCCAGGTGTTCCCAAAAGGCTTGTTGTACCTGGCAATGAACACCGCCGGTATCTTCATGAATTACCTGTCTGACCGGACTCAGCGGCAGAGTTTTCTAGAGACGCGAAGATGCATTGAAGGACGAGTCCGACTGGAGAGGGAGAACCAAAGACAGGTAAACTCTTCCCCACTTAGACACATTTACTCTTATGTAAGACAAACGTGTCCAAGTCCTTCGTCGTTTTCTCAGGAGCGTCTGGTAATGTCCATCCTACCACGCTTCCTGGTTCTGGAGATGATTGCAGACATGTCTGCAGTGGATGAATATCTGCTGCCTCAACAGTTCCACAAAATCTACATCCACCACTACAAGGACGTCAGGTTGCCAAACACTTTTCTGA